CCCACGCATTGTGTAATTTATCAATGAGATTTGGGTTTCCATTGTTTCAATTATTAACATCATATGCAATCGTCTTCTCCAGAATGGAACAGTTGCTGATGAAATACTTCAGATAAGTATTTGAAACTCCTTCTAACCCGATTTTAATATAAACGTCAACATTCTTTTACTTTGCTAATTGAGTTATTATTGCTCATCGATAGGAGATGAATGTTGTTGTTGTACCACATGTATTAATATTTGTTGCAATTGGACTTAGAGACGATTTGTTTTCAAGGTTAGTTAATTCTTTTCCCTGGAACTCATGCTTTAACCTTGGTATCATTGTTTCATATTATTTCTTCGTTATAAATTGGTTTGTGTTACTAATATGGTAGATTGAGGCATAATTAATCTTTTTAATATTAAAAGAGGAGAACAAAATTGAAAATCATAGAATTTTAGCCAAAATTTCCAAAAATTACCCTTTAATTAGTTGTATCAGAGTATAAATGTATTTTCAAAAAGTCATTAAAAACACAATTAAATTCTAGAATCCGCGTGTATTTTAATGGGTCGGGTCAAATTATTGGGTCTTTCAGGTTTTTGTTTCATGGGTAAAAAGAAAATTCATTTGTTCATAATTAATTGTTCAGTCATAAATGCTAAACTAAAGTCTACGACCAAAAAAAAAAAAAAAAAAAAATACTAAACTAAAGTCTATTAAATTAAATGAGTAGTACATACGTTGACTAAATGATTAGGCGTATCTTCTACAAAATTCTATAATTTTAATGTTGCCTAAATTTTTTTGCCGTAGTTATATTCAAAATATGTTTTTTTCTTTAAGTTTTTATTTATCTACATTGTTTCTTTGGGTAATTGTTTATTTTATTAATAAATGAAAACGGATTTGTGTGACTTTAAACGATTAAGTAATATCTTTGCATTATAAAATTTAAAACTATTCTTAAAAAAGTTTCATTTACAAATGGATAGCATCTATACTAACATTTTCGAAGTATCTTTTGGAAAGTAATCTTTTATGTTTTCTTCTTGTTCTTTGCCTTAACGCCCATTCTGGGACGAGTTGGAAGAGGAATAACTAATTCTTACACGGATGAGACTGATCACACCTAATCAGTGAAAAAATATGTCACCAGTCATTTACATATTACACCAAAAATTGACAAGCGGATAAGTTTTCTAGTAATTGACAAACAAATTTCATTAATGATGCAAACTTAAACAGACTTTTAAACAGTACCCTACTCATCGCTCTCTTGATCGTCTTCGTCATAAATGATGCAAAAGTAAACAAAATTTTACAGACCCTACCAAATGTGATATTTGATTTGACCGTGGGTAATTTAAAAATATCATCAGCCTTATCTAAATCCTCTATAAATACATCAAATTCGTGGAAAAAATGACTTCAACTACAACCATGATTCCAAAGAAAAAATCAAGACCACATGGCTTTTCCTAATTATCTTGGTGATCTACAATTACATACTACAAATTGGAGTGGTTTTGTGAAGGTTCTATCTACTTGCAAGCCAAAAGTAGATGTGTCCATGAAGAGAAAGGATATGATAATAGTGGATCAAAAGGTGTCGATCGACACCACCCATTTCCGAACACGGGTATTACAATTCTCCCCCACTAACATGGATTCGTCCTCAAATCCTTCAACACCGTCTATCAGTATAGGAATCCGTGCCACCGTCATCACTGACTCCACTAAGGTCCCTATCTAATCAATATACTCACGTTCCAGACCCTATTTGCTCATACTCACACACTTTCCCCGTTCACAGGTCGCAACCCATGAATCATACCGGCTCGTCCTCAGGCCTCTGCCTTAGACTTCGGTATCAGATTTAGATCACAATCTTCAAACCATACCGGCTCACTATCAGGCCCTCAGCCCTCAAGCTACGGTATCCAGGGAGTATCACTGCTAATGCGTGCACTCGAATCGTCATCCGAGCAAATAAGTCTAAACGCCCCCGAGCATATCTCTAGATTAGATATACCTCTCGTGGTCCTCATATAGCATCGCAATGCTATACTAACCACAATCCCAAAACGTTCCAAAAATAGAACCGTCAAACCCAACACTTGCTATTTTTAGAAACTTACACATACGTCATTTACTTATGACAAAAACATGTCAACTCCAAGAAACACTCATCTTATTAAACTCCAAAATCATAATTAGTACAACCAAATGAAAATACGAAAGAGTTACAACTGAAACTAAACATCAACATGGCGAACAAAACAAGAGTAACAGTCTACTCTTCGAACTCCTTGTCGAGCCACTTCCGGAACCTTGCCTTCATCATGAACACTGGCTCCTAAGTATTCTCGAAGATTCCATCATAGTCCCACTGGACTTTCATCAAAGGAATCTTCTTACGCCGAACTTCCTTTACCCGCCCTCTCGAGAACCCTCACCGGTCTCGCCTCTAAAGTCATGCTGGGGTGAAGATCTGCCAGAATCTTAGCCAACACCTCATCATCCTTATGCAGACACCTCTTCATCATCAACACATGGAACACCTTATGGAACGCCTGCATAACCTCAAGTAACTCCAACCCATACGCCACCGGTCCAACCGGCTCAACAATTCTAAAAGGACCCATATACCTAGGACTCAGCTTAGACTAAGTGAGGGACCTGTTAGGACCACGTAACACCGCCATCTTGAGATACACCATATCTCCAACCTCAAATGCTAACTCCTTGCGCCGCTTATCAGCATAACTCTTCTGCCGATCTTGCGCCTCCTTCATGTTCAGCTGCAGAACCCGAATCTTCTCTAAAGTCTCCTGAACAAAGTCTGCACCATATATGCTCCCTCCCCCTTTTTGGTCCATCATAGAGGTGTCCGACATGACCTCCCATACAACGCCTCATAAGGAGCATCCCAATACTCGCCTGGTAGCTATTATTGTAGGCAAAATCCACCAAGCTCAAGTGATCTGCCCACTGACCACCCCAATCCAACACACACATCGTCAACAGATCCTCAAGAGTCTGGATGGTCCGCTCTAAATGCCCGTCTGTCTGAGGATGGTAAGCCGTACTGATGAGGACATAGAACCGGACATCGACGAGTGCTCGACGGACGGCCATGAACCGGTAACGAGTGATCCGATACCAACAATCCCGACGGTCATAGCTGGACCAATGACCCGTTCACGTACGAGGAAGCTAAGAGAAACGTTCAATGAAGGAGTTGAGGCCCTGATCAACGCAACCGGCCAAATGGATACTCTATCGGCCGACCCTCGACCCCCGGACGCGAGTGGAAGTCTCAACGAGTTTCATCGACCCAACGATGGAGAACAGACCAACCGAGGTAAGTTTCATCGACCAAGTCCATATTTTAGGACTAACGATCGAGCCGGTTTTGCAGGAAACCCCCTAGAAACATGAGTCGATCGAGCATCGTCACCCGGCATCGATGACACGAACGCCCGAACGGTCGACCCGGACGACCCACCACCAAACACCAAGGGATTCGAGATTCATCAACAACGTGCTGATTTTAAAAGCTTTGATCGAGAGCGTTTGAAGAAACAACCCGCAGAACATGAAGAAGCTCGACAAGTACCACCCCCGGACGCCGGAAAGCTTGTGCGGAGCGAAGTCACGAACCAAGTTAGTCCAAACAACTTGGGCTTCGATAATCACTCGATAAGTGATGTTTCTGGAGCCAATGATCA